GCGTTATCTCTGTTGCTGCTTGCTTATACCTGGTTGGCCATCGTGCGGCACTGTTAGTTAAACGATGCACGGCGGCGACCTTCACCATGCTCGCTGTACACCAAAATCTGCAGTCCGTCGAAATGTACCTCTCTTCAGTACAGCACCAAGATGATACAATCCATCATCATAACGGAGACCTGGGGTCACACGAAGAAGCAGATGGTGTCTGCGAGGTTGCCTGTGTTAATGGTGGGAAATCAACTGTTGTGAGTGGACCTGTGAGGCAGATTGAGCTTTTAAGACTCATGCTGCACAACGAGGGTGTCAGGACGACCCTGCTGGACGTACCATATGGGTATCATTCGTCCCAAATGGATAATATACTTGACGACTACGAGAGTGTGGCCGAGACTATCAACTTCCTGGCACCCCGCATGCCTGTCGCATCGACGGCGCTGGGCTCGCTTGTGACAGAACATGGTACCATCAATCCCGGCTACCTGCGTCGACAAACGCGCAATCGCGTACGGTTCTCTCAGGCGGTAGACTTACTATCAAGCGAAGACGGCCTCATCAGGAACAGGCGACAAGTCTGGATCGAAGTTGGACCGCAGCCCACATGTCTTGGTCTATTACGATCCCATATCAGCCACTCGGGCACGACAGCCAGGGATTATATCCTGCTGCCCTCAATAACGAAAGAAGGAGATGACTGCCAGACCTTAGCTACTGCTATGGCCGCGATGTACGAAGCCGGGGTCGACCTTGACTGGAAACGACATCACAAGCCCTTTGAACAAGCACTTCGACTCCTAGAACTTCCCACCTACGCCTTTGATTTAGAGAACTACTGGATCCAATATGAAGGAGACTGGTCACAGAGGAAGGGGAGGAGATGTTTAGATACGCCATTTCGAATGGCGGCTCAAACGCATAGCCTATACCGAGTCGTTAAAGAAGATGTCACCACGGATGACATCTCAATTACCTTTATCAGCGACATGTCTGACCCCAGGTTTCTTAATGTGATCCAGGGGCACCGAATGGACTCCCATGCATTATGCCCGAGCTCCCTCTATGCGGAAATGGCGCTCTCGGTAGCACAACACACAGAGAGATCTACCAACCCTGCCTCGTTTAACTCAACATTTGCGTCGTGCATGAATGTGAGGGACATGGAAGTTTACCAACCGCTAGTCGCGGAACCAGGAAGCCAACAGCACATTCTGATCACAGCATCGCGCGGTAAAAGCTCGAATTCGATAAAAGTTCATTTCGAATCGGAGGATGGGTCTCTCAAGAGGGATCACGCGAAGTGCGAAGTTGTTTTCGGCGACGGCACTCAATGGCAACTCGAATGGCGTCAAGCCTCGGCACTGGTTCAGGATCGTATCAGCCTGTTGACTTCATCGTCGCACACGCACAGGATCCTACGACCAATAGCGTACAAGTTATTCGCTGCAGTTGTCGACTACGGCCAACAATATCAGGGGATGCAAGAAGTACACCTTGATAGTAATCTACTTGAGGCGACGGCGAAGGTACGCTTTCCAATTTCAACAGATGACCAGTTTCTATATCATCCGTGCTGGATTGACAGTCTCGCGCATATTTCTGGCTTTGTGCTTAACGCCACAGAGACCACGCCCTCAGATGTAGTCTACATCTCACATGGCTGGCAAAGCATGCGGATCGCGGTGGAGAAGCTGTCGGCCGACAAGACCTACTACACATATGTACGCATGAAGGAAGATATGACAGCTTCGAAGGTGATGATTGGCGACGTGTATATCTTGGAGGACGGCAATATCATTGCCTTGGTTGAAGGACTCAAGTTTCGTAAGATCAAGCGATTCCAACTCAAGCATCTGTTGCCCCTTAGGCAAAGAATAAGGAACCAAAAATACACCCCAGCGCTCACAGAAGATGTACCGGGAGAGTCCGGCTACTCGGAGCAATCCACGACGACGAAATTGAGTCCAAGCGACGGCGGAGAAAAAATGAGGACGATTGCCGAAGCAAATAAGGCCCAGCCTTCGATAATCGACGCAGTATTTGACATCATCGCTCAGGAAGTGGGTGTCAACGTGTCATCGTTATCCGATCACAATATGCTAGCCGACTCTGGTATCGACAGCCTACTTTCCCTAAGTATCGCCGCTAGAGTGAACGACGCAATAGGCTTAGAGATACCATCAAGCCTAATACTCGCTTCGGCATCGCTCGGAGAACTTCGGGAAAGCTTAGTCCAACGCTTCCAAATACCAGATTCAAACCCTAACAGAACAACGCTCCCTGCCGCTACGAGCAATGGAGATCCTCCTAACAGCAGCAAGACCGCCGAGCCCATTGCCAAACCCCATCTTCTCCGTGGGTCTAAGACTCGTTCGAGGGCAGAGCAGACCCTGTTCCTGTTGCCGGATGGATCCGGCCATGCGAGCAGCTACACGTGGCTCGCATCGGTAGATCTTAAGGGGGCAGCAGGGTTGGACACGATATACGCCCTGGACAGTCCCTTCCTTGAGAACGATAACCCAACCGCATGGCACGACGCTACCATTTGTGATATCACGAGTTGTTTCGTGCGGGCCATACGCGCAATACAACCAAGCGGGCCCTATCATCTCGGTGGTTGGTCGCTGGGTGGTGTCTTTGCATTCGAGGCAGCTGCCCAACTCCGGGACATCGCTAGCCTCTTTCTCGTTGATCCGCCTAGAGTCCAAAGTGGGCGACTCGACGACGATGATGACGGTGAGGATAACGCCTGTCAGGTTGGTTATTGGTTCGAGACCGCAGTGCAACTGATCGATATTGCTAATTTTGTCAACCCGCGCCACCATGAGGACAGGGGCGTGGCCACGCCGACATTTAATGTCGATGTCCTACAGACACACTTTAGTGGCTCTATGGAGATTCTGAGGAGGTATAGACCGCGCCAGCTTCCTGTATCGGGGATACGCACTACTCTGATTTGGGCGAAGGACGGGGTATTGGAGACTCTGGGTGAAGAAGCTTCGGCATCGGATCGGTCGCGTATTACTAAGGGAGCAGGCGATTCAAACTCTGCCAGCGACTGGGTTCTTAGCTCCAGACATGACTTTGGGCCTAACGGGTGGGATTTGCTACTTCCAAAAATTGAGGTAGAATGTTCGGTGGTTAAGGGGGACCACTTCAGCATCATGAAAGCTCCGGCAGTCTTGGGGATTGGAAAGTTGTTAAAGAAGTTCTTCAGTTCGTCATAAAGCATACGGGGCTCCCAAAAGCGAGAGGCCAGCACTTCACCGATTTTAATAGCATACGTGGCTAACTCCAACAGCGGTCGCGTAAGCATTTTTGATTCTGCAAATAATTGCCCATTGGCAACCGTAGTATTTTCGCTCGAGACTAGGAAACCTATCAAGACCTGTCCAGAATCCCATGACGCAAATAGTTAAAAGATATATATCTTTGAATAATTAATTAATTGATTAATTCCTACTCCGTTTCAGCCGCTCTTTCATGTGTAGCTATGCCCGGTTGGCATAACTAGTTAACCCGGTAACGCAGCCCAGATTAACATCTGGGCTGCCCTACTTCGCTATTTTTTAAAAGATTAAAACATAACTAGCTAGCCATAGTTTATACCTTTTTATTTTTATTTTTTATTTATTTTGAAATAGTAGCCTTATATAAACTATAGTTTTATATTAATATATAAATAACGGTGGAATGGGGTTGGCCGCGCGGAGACCGCTTCCTGGTGGAGATGTTGAATCAAATCGTGCAATGACGAGATAGAAAATTCAGTGGCTGCGTAGGGGGATGGTGGTAGATCATGTGACATGGCGCTGATTATGAAGGGCTCAGAACAGAGTCTATTTAGCTAATAATTCTCTAGGTCTTAAGGTCCATAATTTTCCTTTCTCTCTTCGCTAGGGAATCCATGGCTACCTTTATCCTTAACCCTAGTGGGTTGCAGCGTGGCTTATCCAAACTGTTGGGTCGCCTTATATATAGCCTCAACCTATATATAAACTCGCAGCCTCCGATAACGGCCTGTCTATACCCACCAAGGCGCGTGACCCACATTATCTATATCGATAACCTTCTTGGCAATCTTGGCCATGTGGCAGCTCCGCTTTCAGTGGTGCGGGAGGGCTTGGCGGCCTTGGCAATTCTTTGCCCAAATATGGAGAATTAGTGGACGCATAGTGCACAGTATACTTAACCAATATCAAGCGTAATAGCACACGCCCGCATAGTTAATTGCAGTATTTACCTCCCTACCATATAGACTTAATAAGTAAATTCCTAGTAAGTACTCACTTAGCACTTATTAGGCAAAATGCCAAGGCGCGCTAAGTCCTCCCGTAGTCAGTTGATCTGTAGTGAAGTGGTCACCTGTAGATAACTACTCTCGGTTGGTCTCAATATAGTAGTGCCTATATACTAGGAGATAGGCCAAACCTACACTTCCTAGTATAGTAATCACTATTATTTTTTGGGGGATCTATTGATTAAACGTATAGAAATAAGAAAATCAATTTTTATTAATTTGCGTAGTTATCCGATGCCGATGGTTCTCCTAGCTAGTATCGAAAGTAATCCCCATGGTGTTTTATCCCTTCCATGCTAGCATAGCCACCATGTGGCTTGAGCATGTGTTCACTTGTGTAATCCACTCACACTACTCTAGTAGTCTCCCGCTTTCACCAACTGTTGTCTCGAACTATCTATCATCTGCCTTTGCGTTGTCATGGACCCCCCAAATCTTAAAGCTCACTTCAAACTAAGAGCCCTGCATCATTAGCAAAGCCGACGAGAGCTACTGCTAGACAGACTGGCCGTTGTTCTATTGAAAACGGTGCTGTGATTATAATAGGCTTGACAAGCAGACTCTGGGGTTGGCCGCATGTGGCGTCAGAACCTCAGGTGCGTGTGTGAGAGACACTTGTTGCGCAAAAGAGCCAAAACCATCCATGCTAGCGACCTCTGGTACATACATAGTAGTATATACAAAGTAACGTGACATTGTAATAATATGCGGCTTACTGGTAGAGTACAGACCTCTTGAGTCTGTGGTCATTGGTTCGATTCCGAGCGTGCATCGTTGGCTGGAGTTTTCGGTGGGATTGAGGAACAATCAGGCTCTGGAGGTTGGATACCCCACCGTTCGAGTGATCTGGGTCACTTTGAGCAATACCTACATACATATATGTATTTACTTGGGTAGCACTTTCAGAGTCTTACCCACCCTAAAATTAAAGTACCTAGGTACCTAGGCACTCAGTTAAGCTTTCACAGCTGCAGATATCACTCCTGTCCACCGTCGCCAATACAACCATTTCCAGCTTAGTCACGGCTGTGCCGAAGGAATAGTACCTAATAGAGGCACCCCCCGGCTATATTCCTTAGGTTCTACCCCGGTTTGTCGCATTTGCCGTTCAACGTTGATTGCCTTGGCTGCCATCCGGGGTTCTGGCCAGCGATGGCTGTATGCGGTGCCCGTGACGAGCCTCACGGCCGCGAACCACCGGGGTACCTATCATTGTCGGTATACCGTCTTGGCAAGAGTCTGCTGACGTGTAATGCAAGCCGTCTTTTCTCCAACACGACCATGTTTCAAGTTTATAGTTGGGGGTTTTTTTTTGGAATGAATTCCCTTGTTTGAGCTCTTGTCAGTCGCGTTGTTGGCCGACAGACAATTATCCCTGGGAAACCACGAAATCGCACGAAGTTACATGAACAACAAGGAAGACAAGGTTTAATTACCAGTTGGTCTTGATTTGCGACGGCGCTGTTCATGCCAAGCCACGCGGCTTTCACGTTAGACCAATCGATCTTTGGACGAGGTCGTCGCGTGGCGCGTGTGTGAGAACAGACCCGAGTTACTATTAGGTAATTGCTTGTGGGGTGTTAGTAGGCTCTAGGCAGGCAGGTCTATCGGCTAGCTGCCTACCTTGGGAGAGCTTATCTCTGAGGCTCCGTGCGGAGCCCCGGAATATCCTATGGCGCAATCACCAAGTCGTCTAGACCCCGAACAAATGGACGGTCCCCAGCTCGCCGTACGATATAGACACTCCTTTCAGGCAACAAAGGGCATAGCTTCCGTCCGTCGCATCTCACCGGGACAATTCATCTGTATGATGACGGACACCGATGACGGCATCGCCCCCACCCAAAATTGCACATTTATTGCGTGCGCTATGGATCACAGCCCCGAATCAACCCTCCTGTTCACTTGACTACCATGATTGTCCAATCAGACACCCAGAGTTCGCCGGAATTCTGCCCCAATTACATCGGGCTGAAAGCCCACATGCCACTCTAGTCTACTGCTGTTGGCTCCCTCCCTAGTCCGGCACAGCCACTCCGTCCTGATATCTTGCACCTCTTACGCGCATGACATCGGCGTGCATTGTATGTCGGTCACCACGCGATAGTAGTGGATATTATGCCAGCCTGGAGTTTCTCGCGTACCAAAGAGAGAGGGAGAGCTGGCAATTGGTCGCCAGTGAGGCGAGGAGGACAAGAGAATATAAAATCCTCTTTTTCCATGGGCCTCCTATCTACTTTGCTGGGATCGGGCTCGCGCGGTTTCCAAGATTACTGCGCGTTAGCCGGGCACGCTCTCTCAAAACGGCTGCCACGTTGATGTAAGCTGCACGGGATCTCCGATGCTGCAACATTCTCCAACCCTTGTCTTCACCGAGTACGCCGTCTTGTATCCCTCCTAATGTATTAGCGGCCGGTCTCCTACCCTCACTTTGCTGTCCCTCGCTTTCTGTTACGGTAGATGATTGATTTCATGCATGAGCTCTGCTTGGCTTGGTTCTAATGTTGAGGGGTCCGTAAGGAGTTGCTGTTTTGGGAACATCCAGGCCTTCTCTCTCCTATCAAGTCATTACTGCGGGCGCTGACGTGCGTTTCCTCCTTCCGATATGGTGGAAACCTCTCCTCCCTTCCGGGACCGTAGTGCGCCGGTGCGCATAGACCTACAGCATACATATCTTCAGGACACTTAGTACAGTGTACTTAGTAGTAACGCATATATCGGCTGTTAGGCGATTCTACAGGCTGTAGCCTAAGCGGAAGCGCTTCGTAGAATAGCCTAATACTGCCCAAACTAAGAGAAAAAAAACAAGAAACAACAAAAACCATCTACAACTATCTACTAATAGTTTAGGGGGGGTGGGCGAATTGGGCGATGTGTTCGTCTCGACGGTGCCAAGGTCCACCTGTAGGTCTGTAGGCAGTACCACTTATTCTATTAACCTATCACAAATAGGGGCTACATAAGTAGTTTGCCAAGAATGCCACTACCTACTTAATAGGTATGCAGGCTACCGTGGAGACATACCTAGAACCACACATTCACCTCACACCATGACCCTTAGCCACCTTGTCAACGAGTCATCGGAAGAACTCGAAAATCGCAAATTAAACAGCCAATAACTAAATAACACCTTTTCGTAGTTTGTTAGCCATATTGATCTTTAGAAATCTCTTAAAGGTGCTCAATCTCTATGAGCGGCGGCTATGGGGGGTGTAGGTCTGTGTTGTGTTATCCCGGTCGTATTCAGTAGTAGCGTGGGGAAGGACCGGTATATCCATTGTATCAGCAGTCATATCGGCAGTCCTATAGGGTGATTTAGTGGTTACATCCAGTCTACTCGTAGCATTATGCGTAAACTGCATGCGGGGATGGGACCACACCCGTCAATTCCAGACTTATCTCTGTCACCCTGGCGATTAGAGAGTATAAGCTTTCCTAATGGGGAAGTACTTTATATCGGTGGGTTTGATTGGGCATAAATCTTCTTGCATTGATCTACTAGTACTAAAACGAGAGACGATATTATAGGACACTGCCGAACGCCATCATCCGTAGCTGTCACCACGTCGCCCGGGGTTGAGGCCAGGACGGAAGGGGTCTGGGATACTGGGAGGCGGTTCAATACTTCTCATCAAGTAGCTGGAGTCACCCTTAGCCTTTTGAACAATTTTTCTGAGCTTGTCTCTCAATTCTCCAGCCTTTGCACGTTTTTCCGGGTCAACCACAATAAGATCACTAGCAATGAGACTGACGAGAGCTGCTAACCCAGTGCCTTTGGCACATCGAGGGTCATTCTCGAGTGCCTTTAGCCCGTCGAACGCAACTGGATGGATAATTGCCGTGTCCGGCCTAGTGCGTTTGTAGTAGGGTGCCTTCTGTGGAAATCGGTCGTCGTTCGCTCTACGTAGCTTTTTAAAGTCATCGATCGCTTTGTTGCCATACAATAGCCAAATGGCAAACTCCATAAACATGCAGCCAACCGACCACATGTCATATCTTCTCCCTCTTGGACGTTCGGCGTGTATTTCGACTTCTGGGGCCTCGTAGCAGGGCGTGGTAGCTTTCGTATTCGTCGGGTCGTCTCGTAGTTCTGTCCTTACGTGGTGGACCCTAGACACACCAACATCCGCAATGACTAAGATCCCGTACTTGCTATACCGATCACGAGATTCGTTTGAATCCTTAAAGTGGAGGATGTTCTCGGGTTTCAGGTCACCGTGTCGGCAGTTGATGTTATGTAAAGCGAACAGAGCGTCAACGATGCCGAGCATCTGCTCGAGGCACCACATAAAAAGTTTGGGGCTCCGCGTCTGCAAGGCTTCAGGAGCACGCTTCCAGAAATCAGAGAGGTTGCCTCCATTGGCCCAAGGAAAGATGACGTAAAAAGAATTGCCTTGTTGGATAGTAGCGATATGCCGGATCAGGTGTGGGTTGTTGAGGTCCTGGATTAGGCCCAAGTTTTTTTTCTCCTTGTCGAAATCATCTTGTTCAGTATAGTCTTTAATAGCAACAACCTTGACATTGTCCTTCGGTTTAGGCATCTTAAAATGTGTATCAGCGCGCGATGAACAAGAATACCTAGAGATATATGTAGACGGGATACTCACGAAGTGGGCTCCGTGAAGCGTGCCTTTATACACGGTGCTTCTATCATTGAACGATATCTTCTTGATACCGTAGAACGGTAAAGGGTTTAATGCATCGAGGCGAAGGTCTTCACCTAGCGTGGTAAACACCGGAGCGAGGACTTGCCATTGTTTCCGGAGGAAGTTCTCAACTCCGATATTATCTCCCCGGTTCGAAAATGACTGGAACTTTTTGCCGTGGCGAGAAATCAAGATGTTGGGTGGCCCCTCGCCGTAAAACCTGGCAAGAGGGAGTTGCTCATCTGTGAGTCCCTCCTCAACCACTTCCCAAATAAGCTTCTCGAGCTCACAGAGTCCAAGGATAACGAACACTTTCTTCGCTCGTTTAACTATTTGAGAGCATGGATCCTTGTAGTACGGATTAAAAAGGGAGTTGAGGATCCCAAACCTGGATAATTGAGCCTTGATTATGTCTGTAGAGATGACTTCATCTATAGCGTCCGTTGGCAAGAATGTGCGTTGATAAAAGTTTGGGTTTTTATCCGTATCGTCACACTTGATCGTTATCGAGTGTAGTCGATGATACAAGCTATCTCCATATGAGTGCTGAGACGACTGTGCCGACGACTGCGCCGACGACGGTCGAGACAATATATCGCCGGGTTGATCTGAATACTCGGACGACTGCTCTGAGAACTGTCCAGATAATGATGCCATTGTTTGGTTATGGAGGATGGGTATCTCGGATGGAAGAAAAGCTCACAATTTGATAAGGAAGGGTTTAGGCGGCTTCAACATCACAGCAGTCCGTGATGTGCTTCTTATACTAGGTACCTTGGTAGTAATGGAAGGCTACGGTACCGGCAGAATGGGCGGCCGCGAACCACACGACATCAGTACCACCACGCTCCCACTAAGCAAGCCAGTTTTCATCATGGCCGCCTGGTGTTCTGACTCAATCGGGCTGATGCGGGCATGTAGGTGTGTAGTATACTTTGTCAGCACATCGGCAGCCGCTTCTTGGGGTACTAGGTACGTCGGCTGGACAGATGACGTACCTATACTTATCGGTCAGCACGCGTTGAATTTGCAATTCGTCTAATGCAAGACATAGCCATGGCTAGGGCTGCAGGCTAATGCTGGACGTTCATCTGTCCAGTCCGGTAAGACACAAATCCTATACCCCA